CTGCGCAAAAGCGAGTGCCAACCTTGCTTTAGGTGTGACTTTCGCTAGTGACTCTTCGTCCATGACAGGCACCTCCAGCAGCGGAGATGCTCCATGCGCAGACGCAGACGCAGGCCTCAGATCCACGCGAGCCCTAAGCTAGGGAAGCTGAGCTCACTGTTGCCCGCACGCAAGAGGAAGCATAGTAACACTTCGATGTATCTAGCTGGTGCTTACGACGTCAATTTTCAGACGTTTGTGCTGCCAAAACCGTCCTGTTTGTGGTGCGAGGCAGACGGCCATCCGGCGATGTCTGAAGCAGAAGTTCAGACAGAGGCTCGGAAAAGAAGTGAGTTACATACCATCTCGGGCGATTCCACCCAAGTTGTGATGATGCACGCCTCTTGTCATCCTGTTATCCCGCACATTTCAGGCCGACTTCTCCGCCACGGCGATGACGGCGGAAGCGACGCAAACAGAGGCCCGCGGCATGCCTTGTGCTATCTTGTGCTGTCGCAACGCTCGGTGTGGAGAGAGGAGCATGCAACACCAGACTCGCCTGCCTGTACACAGCTTCAGCACTTGGGGAACGCGCCAGCTGGTGGCCGGCAGCGGGAGGGTGAAGTTTGTGCAGCCCAGGAGAACCTGCAGGCGGCAGCCTGCAGTGAGTGGGGCACCCAAGCACGGATGCCGCAGAGCCTCCGAGCACCTTGAACTGATTTGTTTACTCTCTACCCTTGGATAGCACCCGGTTTCTCTCTAAATCCCAAAGCCTCGCCTCGACTCGACTATCAAGGCCCATCGAGGCCTTTCACTGCAACTTTCAGACCTTGCCTTCGGCTTCCCGTGGAGGGAGCCTAGGATCTCGCGGCCTGAAGCGAGGATGTTCCGTGAAGCAACCCTCGCAGCCTCGAGGTCATCGTCTCAGACGACTCCTCCCGCGTTGGCAGCAGCGGCGGCTCTCTAACCGAAATTATCAAGGGATGAGGGATCTTCGGAAGCGCAGGATCACTAGCCCGAGAACCGATGCGCAGTTGTGCTGTGGATGAAAGCCTCAAAAGCAATTTCAGAGGACACCCACGAACCTGACAGATTTGGACTTCTGGAAAATTGAGTCTTTCAAACGCCACTATACGCCACCTGAAGAGGCCGAACCCGAAATGCGCAGCAGGTTCAAACGACACCGGCGAAGGGTGTGAGCTGCGGGACCCAGGCAGTGTTGCTTCATTGGCAACCAGCAGTAACGAAGACCAGTACCCTACTCCTACCACTACTACCACAACCACGCCTAGTGCAACGACGACGATGACCTCCACTGCTGCAAGCACTGCTACTGCTACTAGTAGTCGACGTCGTACTAGCAAAAGCCGGAGTAGTAATGGTCGTCGTCGGCGTTGTTGTTGTAGCCAGTCATTACATACTTAGTTTGTCGTCTGGCTAGCTAGTGAGCTCGCTAGTTAGATATCAGAAGTAGTGGTAGTAGTAGTAGTAGTAGTAGTAGTAGTAGGCGCCCCCCCCTACCAACTACACTTGCTTAAAACCATCTTAAGAGCACATCCGTTTTACTCGGTATTTACAGCACTTTCGTCATGTACGGTCATCATAAGAGGCCTCAAAATCCACTTGCCGAGTTTGCTAACTCGGCCTCTTGATTTTGGACTTGCTACGGGCGGGGGGGTGGGGGGGTGGGGGGGCTACTAGTAGTAGTAGTAGTGGTAGTGGTAGTGGTAGTGGTAGTGGTAGTAGTGGTAGTGGTAGTCGTGGTAGT